ATAATATGCCAAAACCGTTTATTACTTATTTATAATTTGTCAATAAATGCATACAGTCATTACTATCTGAAGAACAAAAACTAAAAAAAAAAAACTATACAAAAAATCAGTAAATAAAATAAATTCATACAAGGAATAATCAAATTAATGTTTTTAAACATGATTTATAATTTTTATCAGTCTATAATCAATAAATCAACCTAAAAAAATATGTAGGTATCTGCAGGTATTTCACCAAAGCAAATTTTCTATAAAATTAACATTTATTTTACAGGTATTTAATAAAGATACGTGCTATAAAAAATAATATTTTATAGAATATTATATCGTTTAAAATTAATAATGTTTTCCTACCTAAGTATCCTTAGAAATTTTATACTAGGGCACATTTAAAACATCCAAAGAAAATAATATTAATAATAAAAGTAAGAAAAAGAAAAATATCACACACCATCTTGAATATCTATATTAGACTAAAGTTATTATTAACTTTTAGGAAAATCTATAACTCTATATTTCTGTAGACAAAAATAAAATTATGAACTTTTAAAATAGTTAGTGTTTTGGCTTAATAATATTTCATGGATTTAAAAACTTATTTTTTGATGATCTTAATCTTCTGCCAACACAATTTCATATCAAACTCTAGTTCAAACCCTCATTTTTATTACATTATTTGTAATCTATGAATTTATGAAACACATGAATTCAATCAAAATATTATTAGCTGATTAAAAATGAATATTAGTTTAACTTACTAAAATAATAAAGGAAAATATATTTAAATCATTAATGGTTACATTTATTTAATTTTTATATTATTATTTTTATCTCTTTTAACATTTAAAAAAAAAAAGTTTACAATTATGATTACATAAGTACGAAGAAACTTTTTAAATATATTTGTTTCTATAAAATGTATTTTTATTTATATTTATATTCTAGAATATTGTACGTGTATCTTTATCATTAATATCTATCCATTTATTTCTACGTCATATAAGTACTAAATAATTGTATTACAGACAACGCTTTAAACACGATATTTTTATTTATATTGTTTATTGATAAAAACTCGTGTTTTCTATAAAATGAGGACAAAAATTATAGTACGAAAATTGAAGTAAAATAGTCAAATAAATACTGAAAACTTCCTGAACAGTTGGTTATCGAGTATATATCTATAATGTATATTTATATGCGGTGTATTTGAGATTTTTATGAGATTACATATTGCGTGGATTCAAATTTAAAATTACAAAAGGAATAATATTGTATAAATAAATAACTATTATATTACAATAAATATTAATTATCCATATAACAAGTAAGCTTACTGGAATTAATAAAAAATATATTATACCATCCCTCAACAGTTAACTTTAACTGTAAACATTTCTCGTTATAATCATTATGTAAATCAAATTTTTGTTCTATCTATAAAAATATATTGAGTGAAAATAAAATGAAACTAAACATATAAAAATTTCTTCGAAGTATTTTTCGTTTTTGTAATTGAATGCTTTCCGGTTTGTTATTAGCACTACTAAAAAAATTATCTTCTTCCGGTAAAACGTCAGTTATAATACTGAATGTTTATAAATGCATATTCTATTTTTCTCCATGCATAATAATATCAAAATTCAAAAGTATTAAGTTCAGTACATTATATTAAAACTTTTTAAATTTAATCTAAGAGTCTTTTCAAAAGAATTGATTCAAACTAGACAATGGTTTTTGAACTAAAAATTATAATAATAAAAACAACCGGATGCGATGAAAATCGAGTATGTTTGCCATTTCGTTTTACTCATCTCAGCGTGAAAAATTTTAAGAGGGCTATAATATGTGTAAATAATATAAAACTATAAATTTAAAATCAATAAAATAATGATGCAATTCTCTATAGGCAATATTAAACATTTATCATCGAATTCATAAACTTTTGAATTTTAATAACTGTAAAATTATACTTGCAACCATGCAATGTATTTTTCTGAGTACGCTAAACAATGATCAATACTAAATACTATACCTTATAACACTGCTTAGTATAATTTTTAGAAAGGTCTTGTTACTCTAATTATTTGAATACAAATTTATGCTAATTTTCCAATACCATAATAATCCTAGTCTACTTGCAAGTACCAACATATATCTAGTAAGTACTTTTCACTCGGGTATATCGAAATTCCATCCGTTAGTTTTTTTTTCTTCTGATTTTTCATGAATCGTATTTTTTAAAGTTGCATACTAACTGAGAACGCGATCATGGTTCTCATTTTTATTTATTAGTATCACTTTTTATATGATAGAATAAATATGCAATTAAATGTAATCCGATACCTATACTGAGAACAGTGGGCACCTAAAGAGAGTTTTTTTATTATAAATATATGTTAATGATGTAAAACTATTTCTTTCTCACAAGTATAATTTACGTAAATACTATAGATTCAACGATTATCTATAGGTACTGAATAATATGACGTTTAACTAAGACCACAATCTAAATTCTGCATTCTGGATTTATACTTAAACCAATTCTACCGGCTTAAGTATAAATCCGCGCGATCAAATGTCACAAGTCTTCATAATATTATTTCCCGTAAACGGACCATAGCGTTTCCACGAACAATGAAAAGTGAATTTGTTTTTTGTGATCTATCGAAATCTCCAATGCATGTCCCACCGTTTAATCAATATTAAAATAACATTAAGACGATACCGTAATTATCGGCGGAGTACGATTGCGCGCGGTTTACCTTTTTAGGTATACGATTGCGCGCAGTGCCAGAATAACAAAAGACAACATTTTAATTACTCAAAGGCGTACGATTGCGCGTGAAATTGAGTGCGACGTTGCCAAATGTATTACGTAAATAATAAAAATACAAAAAGTTAATAATATTAAAAATATGTTATTTAAAAAAAATTAAAAAATTTACGTAAATAATAAAAAATAATACAAAATAAAGAAATTTAATAATTGAAAAAATATAATACTCGTAAATTAATATTTAAATTAAATTTTAAACCCCCGATGCCTATTTCCAACTATGGCCAAATACTTTAGTAAATTTTCTGGTGTTTTATTGTTTACATAATGTTTGTATTCATTTTTCAAATTTTCAATTTTCCTTGATTCTTCATTCGATTTTGGTTTTATTATACCTTTGGAAATGGTTAATAATTTGGTAACTGTTTCTGCCTGAGTTTCCATAAGGGTAGCTATAACGACAAATATTGGTGGATGAGCACTATTAAACTGTGCATTATATGTACTATGGAAACTTTCAGCCCCGTTTGTAGTCCTAAAAATAAATAATATAATATTATAGTTAACACATTTTTTTTTAAAACTATTATTAGTAAATATTTACCTAGGATTTGATGATGGTGTTTCAGCCCATAAAATAGGTGGAAATTTACAACCCGGTTCAATATACGGTTCCAAAACATAATCCGAAAAAAGTTGTCCAACTGAAATATTTGGACATACACTTATAAGTTCGACAAAAGCATCCTCGACATCATCTGGAGCTATAAAAGAAAGTCCGAAAAATGATTTGAGCCATATTTGTAAATCGTTATTTTTATCGTTATATGCCGTTCTTAATTTTGATTCACCATTAATCTGAAAATTGATTTTGATTATTGACATTGTAATTTTTAAAAATATTTTTATTTGATTCAACTTACTTTGCGCCACCAAGCTTGTCCCAAGTGAAAACGGCATGTTTTAATTTGTACAGCCGGAAAAACTTCTTTTACTGCTTCAATAGCACCAATTTCAAAATCAATGTGAAGTATTTTAATTTTAAAAATAAGTGATTGTTTTTCACATATACTGATTAAATACTTCCATACATTAATATATGTATTTTTAAATTTATCATTTAAAAAAAAATACACCAAATGTGCGTAAATGCCATTTTTATAACCATGAATGGTGTATAATTGCAAAAAAAATTTTGGAGCATATTCGAATGTTCCGTCTGTAAATACATCGGTACAACTGGTCAGACATTGAAGATTTTCTTTAGTGGTTAAACAAATAAAAGTAGAATCTTCGGGTAAATGTACAAACTTTTCCCCTCTAAACATTAAAAAATCTGCATCTTGAAATTCATTTATTTTTGTAATTGCATCTTCAGAAGATGTTGGATAGGGAGGGAGATTTTTTCTTCGTTCAATATACATTGCCTTTCTAACCGATTTTAAATCTTTATGTTCTAATTCAGTACTTACGCTATTCATAAGTTCATTTCTAATTAACTTTATTGGCCGGGTAGATATATTACTTGTAGCTTTTCGCTTGCAACTTTCTCTCAACACTTGTCGATCAATTTTTTGTATCGGATCAACAGGATGGTTATGTTCACTAGCATTTTCTATAATTAAATCATCAATCGTCATCAACACTGTGGACGTACACTGTTTTTTACAGCACCTCCATCTTACATATCCATCAGCCCGCTGCCTGATACACCTAAATTTGTGCCCATTGACTAGCAACAAATCATTTCCCCTCTCCGATGTAATACGTCGAATTTCGTTTTCCATTTTTAAAAAATCAACACAAAATTTTACACTGTAACACAATTCAAACACCGAACACAACTGATAGTTAATTGATATAGTCACATCATGCACGATTATAGTATAGGTATATTCGTACATGTATGGACATTTACAATAAAGATAATATTTTTAATAATATAACCAATTCATTCTTAGTGATGGGAAGTTTGTCTGATATCGGCAAAAATAAGTAATTAATAATCTACTATAATCTACTATGGTATCGTACGGATTTACCATGGACCTATATCCTATATATTTGGCAACGTTGCTTAAAAGTTAAAATAATATAGCGCGCGCAATCGTACGCTTAAAAAGATACCGCTGATAAGGACCGCGCGCAATCGTATCGCGCCCGTAATTATATAAGGTACTTTACAATATTATGCGATATCGTTTAATTTTGTGTTCTGTAGGTGCTGCACATAATATCAAGCAGTATCAAAGAAATACTCGACTATTCGGTGGCCAACCTGTTGGTGTTGTTCACCAATTTCTTCATAATCGTCAGCTATCCGATCAACTTCGCCATTTATTGCGGCATGTCCAGGCAGTTCCGGGAAACGTTCAAAGAGCTGTTCATCAGAGGCTCGGTGCAAATAAACCGTAAACACGGGGTCGGCGGCAGCTCCCGCTACTCATTGGTCAACGGACCCAGGACATGTACCAACGAATCGCTTTTATAAATTTATTACGAACGCTTATAATATAATCTGTTATTGTGTGCATGCGCACAATTTACTTTCAAAACCACTCGTCGGACAATTAATTGATATTGATAACAATAACCAGCCAACATAAGTATCCATTAAAAAACCAAAAACCAAATACCCACTTACGGCTGTACATATACCTATTATACCATTAATGTGAAAGAAAATGGGGAGAAGGTAAAAGTAATAATTGATACGCACAGTCCAGCACAGTTCATATTATTACGTAGGTAGGCAGCATAATAATAAAATTGTTCAAAACCAAATGATTAATACGCACAAACCTTGTTACCAAAATGTACGTTCTGAAAAGTCCCATTTAAAGCAGTATAGAATATAGAAATTAAATGTTGAAATCGTTAAAATGACCAATGGATTATAATGTGCATACATTTTTTTTCTATCTTTGTAATTGTGTATTTTATTTCGTATAAGAGTCTTGTCTTAAACCCGGTAAATCGCTTCAAAAATTCACCTACAAAAATAATAAATGAATTTTAAATTTGAATCAATTCATTGACATTTAAACGAGCACTTATGTAATCAATTTAATTTTTAAGCCGATAATGCAATGACTACATTTACCTATTTTGTTTTTTTTCATTTTATCTCAATAGTAATGTGTTAAATTAAACTTTATAATATAGCAATATTAAATAAATTAAAAATAATCAAACACCGTGAAAAATCATTGATTATTATTTTTTTTTATAGTAAGATAAATTGCTGTACAGACCCTTTTCATATAAAATGTTTTTTTTTTTTTAATTATCTTTATGGGATATTAACAATTGGCACAATGTAAGTTATTTGTCATTCGATTTTTTATTTATTTATTTTTTATTTTTTTGTTGTTCGAAGCGAGAACAGATGAAGGGATTATTACATGCAATTAATTTTCCTTAAAGTAATCAATTTATGTCAAATAACATTATTTATTTATTTATTATTACTTCTTTCTTTCTTTTTTTTTTTTTATTAGAACATATAAATTTCTAGGTATTATATTACGTAGATTCCAATCTCACAATATGTTTACTAAAAAACATCTTAAATCGTTTTAAATCAAATGCACTAGTTTGATTTTGTAATATTAAAGTTAATTAAATTTACAAAGTATATTGTATATATTCAAATTTACTTTTAGTAATTGCTATTTATGTCAAAAAATGTTTAGCCATCAAGTAATTAGGGCCATTTTGATCTTTCAGCAATACAATTAAACAATACCTACATTAATCATAAAATTCCTAAGAAAACTTAATATTTAATTTTAAAAAATAAAAGATTTTTATTTATTCAATAAAAATGATTTAAGTGGAAAAAGAAATGATAAATAATTTATATTGTAATGGCTATGGCCATAGTATCATCAGGTATCTAATTCAATCATTGCATCTATTACTATGCATAAATATGTTATCATTTTATCATAGTTATAATTTCCACATATCTGTGGACAAATTTTACTTATTGTTGACTTGAAAAAAATTGTATTTCTTTAATTCTGTTAAGAATAATAATATTATGTTCATCGTTGACTCATTCTATTATTTTGCAGTTCATTAATATTTTAAATACTAATCAATCCTGGTTTATAGAATACTTTGATTAAGTATCTATACATTTTTCAATCACTTCTAATTTAATTATTTATGAATTGTGTATATAAACATACCGTTCAATTAAAATTTTTCACTAATTAATAAACACTAATAAGTATCTTGTAAGTAATGGTAATGTTATTACTTATTTTATTTAAACCATCTTAAGTTCAAAACCATGCCAAATATAATAAGAATAAATTAATCTATTTGTACACAAACTCAATAACAAACATTATACTAAATACGAGTATATAAGTATTTTTCCATATATATAGAAATGCCTACTTAAATACTAGTATTTTTTTCAGGTCGTGTACAAAGGTATATAAATATATTTGTAATATCGCAAACAATATCAGTGTAAAAATAAAATATATTAGTTTACTTCTCAATTAGCTCATTCACTTGTGAGGCCAAAAGGCCAAAGGGGTATAAATTACAATATATTTACATACTTAATCGCTGAAATATTTAATTACACTATAATAAAATACAATTTTTAAATAAAATAAAGTTAATTAAATGTAGAAATGTGTATAAAAATATATTTAAAAATAACCTCACTGACATTAAATCAAAAATTAAACTAACAAATAATAAATTAACCGTTATACGTATAGATTTGTATTTACAAATTAGATGTAATACTTTGAATATTTATTTTAAATGTAAAATAAATACATGTATTAAATAAATTTATATTAACTTTAATAAATGTATTCCTAATAAATAATAAATAATATGTTTTAAAATTTAACTAAATTAAAATAAGCCTTCAGAAAAAAGTATGTATATTACTCGTATGTAATTTAAACTGGTTGAATTATGTTATTTTTTTTAAGATTTTTCTTTCAAACTTAAATTCATACTTATTTTTTATTATTTTAGCTTTTATTGAAGTTGTTTTTGTCTGAAAAATGTTAGAACCAAAAAACTATCTTTATTACAGCATATAAGAACATATCTTCAACTTTTTGTAATATACCATAAAAAATATTTTATTTTAACTTAGACCATTTCTTGATCATAAATTCATTCTTAAAAGGTTTTTTTAAACTAAACAGTTTTAATTCAAATTTCATCGCCTTAGACAAGTATACATTTCTAGAAGTAAAAAATCTATGATAATATTTTAGTATAAAAAATCGTGCTTACATACTACATTTAACTTAACATTTACACTATAAATACTTTTTTTAAAGGTAAAAATATGATATATATTTGAATAATTCTATAAGGCAAATAAAGGTAACAAATATTAAACACATGTTAATTTATTTTTTATTAATGAACGGCTATTATATTTTAACACGTTTTTAGTCGTTTGAAATAGTAGTTAACAACTTGTTTTCACAAAATAGGCTTTAAAATAATATGTGTATTAATACACATATTAAATATAAAAATATTATATTTAGTAAGAAAATGTTCTATCAAAAAAAAAAAAAAAAAATTCAAGCTAAGAAAATATTCAAGAGTTCAATATTTAAATATAATATTATAATAATTTTGACTACTTATATTAGTAAAAATTATTTGATATTATTATATTATTATCATAATTAGTATATGATATTATAAAACCATCTTTAAATATTTAGTTGTGAAATTTATAGTTAATTTTTAAATATATTATTTTTCATAGTTATGTAACTTGATATTTAGTTCAGTAATCAGTTGATACCAATAAAATATATTTCATTGTAATATCTATATTATTACATTTAAAATTACATTGCATGGTAAATAAAAAAAATTGTTCCATTGCAATAAAATATGTACATTTCCTTGTAAATATACCAATTAAAAAAAAATATACAAGCCATATTTTTAATCAAAATAATTGCATATAATATATAAAAATAAAATTCTAATAAATAAAGACGTATTAAAAAATCACATTGTCGGTATAGAATGTTTCACTTTTACTTCACGAATAAATGATGAAAATAATTTTAGATAGGTATTAATATTTATTTAATTCAATTTTGAAGTATCTCATTAGATATAGTACAACAAAATTACTATAATTCTACTTAAATTTTGAAATTATTGAACATTAAATTGTATAGGTTGGCTGATATACATAATATAATGTAAACAATGTATTTGTCTGGCAATGTTATTTCGTACTACAGCTTAACAGTATTATGGTTACTGGTCAGACTTATCGAATGGTTTATAATAAATTAAAGACGCCTATTACGTATAAATTATATATTCTCTATATTAAATACCAAATTTTTTTATGCACATGAATTATTCAACATAACAAAACTACGGGTTGTAATAATTATTCAGTGGTGCAAAAAAAATGGACTCGGATAGTTTACATAACACGCAAGACACGTATAGATGACATTTCCTCAGGACAACTGTAACGGAAGAAATTTATTTTTTGTTCAAATCATTTCAAATTTGCTCAAACTATATGACAGTTTTGTACGTCTATACTTTTGAAGTACGCAACATCAATAGCTTTTAGAGATAGGGTCAGCGAAAACTTTTTCGAAGCCTATAACTGATCGTTTTCAGGCCACTTGACTTACATGTATTTAACTAGAAATTGAAGTTTGATGACACCTCTATAAATCTGTATAACAAAAAAAAATAATTAGTTTTTGGTTTAAAATATTTAAAATATTATTTTTTTTTATTTATTAAAGAAAAAATTAAATAGAATACCGATTATTTAAAATCAGTTAGTATTTAAAATATTAAAATTGGCTGAATATACCAATTTTAATCTTTGAAGTTCGTTTATAAGATTGTGTCTTAAATTTGTTAGGTATCGTTTTATCAGTGCAATAGCTTTTTTTCTGGTCCATTGTCATTCTTTAGTGAACTTTATAAAAACTTTCATGCAGAGAATTTACTGATTCTAACCAACTGATTAATCACATAAAAACATCCTATAACACAATAAATAGTTTTTTGATCATCATCTGCATTTTCGTTTTTGTATAATGTTACTATTTATTGCAAATTATTACATTTTTACATTTTTGAAAATTATTATTAATTACACATTATTATTTAATTATATTTTTACAGCCAATAACTACATATGTATTTTTTTAATTAAGTACAAGTATTTTTTAAATTATTTTTGTGAAAAATAATCGATGAGCTTTGTCTGTTTATAATTAATACACCGTTTCTACGCAATCTTAATAGTAATATTATTCGCTAAAGTTACAGCAAAAGTGAAAATAGTACTACTTTTTACCTCTATCGATGAAATAACTTACGTTCTTTATAGCAAAAACGTCCTGTTAATTTGTTATTTGATAGAGAAACCATCACCATGGCTGTTTCACTGATAACCGAATTCGTCGTAATTATATCGTCCCATAACAAGTTTGATGACACAATTACATTATTACGAGAGTACATACGAATGTGAATAAGTATTAATTTCAAATAAAGATAAAAATAATGTCCATAATTCGGAAAGTCCGCTATTTGGAGGTTTTCCCATTGAGAAGTAGTGAATTGTCCCCGTTCCCATATATTGGGAAGTGTCCGTTTGTGGAGGTTTCACTGTGTTATTTTATGAGACGATAAATGAACAATTTAAAAAAATAATTTTAAAGTTTAATGATGTATAATATGATTGATGACTACTTTCACATTCACATATATTATGATATATTATCTATGTACGTCAACCCACGTTTGGAGTCTCATTTTGGGAGACATGATGTTCTCTTAGAAAATTACACGCAGAACCATACGTTATATTGTTTAATACAATATGTCTCTATCCGTTTACTTAAAAACTTTAAATTAAATTTTATAAGGTGCATTATGATGATAAATCTCTTTAGAACAAAATAAAGCAGCGCACTACGAACTTAAGCCAATCGACAGTATGAGTAAGCGAAGAATTAAAAACATAACGATTCAATTAGAAATAG